TGGCGACTCCCAGGGGAGGGCCTTCTCTGTGAGGGCTCCAACCCTTTGGAATGAACTGCCCCCGGAGATACGGAATATCCCTGATCTCCATGCTTTCCGCCATGCCCTCAATCCTTGATGTTTCAACAGGTGGGGCTAAACATATGAACATATGAATGATTTTTTAAAATGTTATCTAATTCTGGGTTTTATTTAATTGGCCAAACTAAGTAATAATTTTAATTAGCAATTTTATGATGTTTGTGTGTCTATATTTTTCTTGGCTGTACACCGCCTTGAGTCCTATGAGAGAAAGGCGGTATAGAAATATAATTAATAATAACAATAACAATAATAATAATAATATAATTATTATTATATTATTATATTATTATATTAAATAATAATATCTCAACATCAGGTTGAGAAAGTTTTAGAGAATGAGAAACTCAAGATCTTGTGGGACTTTAGGATTCAGACTGACAGGCACTTGGTCCAAAACACACCTGGCATAACAATAGTTGAAAAGAAAAAAGTATGGTTCATTGACATTGCAATACTTGGTGATGCACAGATTGAAGATAAGCAGCAAGAAAAAATCACAAAGTACCGGGATTTGCAAATTGAAGTTGAGCGACTATGGAAAAAGAAATCGTGTGTTGTCTCGATTGTAATTGGAGCCCTTGGAGCAATACCCAAAGGGCTACCCCGCTATTTAGAAATTCTAAATTTGCTGGACTTGAACATTTTGACTCTACAAGAAACCACTTTACTCGGAACAGCTTACATCCTCCGACGATACCTTAACAGTTCCTAAGTCCTTGGTTAGGACTCGAGCTGCTAAGCTGTTAACCAGCCTCAAAGGCTGTGAATCTCACTAAAGATTACCCAATAATAATAATAATAATATGTACAAATACATACCTTATAAGTACCTTACTTGTATACATCAGTGGTGAAATCCAATTTTTTTTACTACCGGTTCTGTGGGCATGGCTTGGTGGGCATGGCAGGGGAAGGATATTGCAAAATCTTCCCACCCGACTCTGGGGCCAGTCAGAAGTGGTATTTGCCGGTTCTCCGAACTACTCAAAATTTCCACTACCAGTTCTCCAGAACCTGTCAGAAATTTGCAAAAAGGAATTTGATTGTTGCCTATGGGGGATAGTTCAGTAAATTTAGGAGCAGGAGGTTGGACAAGAAGTCTTCAAAGGTCTTTTCCAAATTATAACCACCTACAATTCTTGAATTTCTTCTCATGATGTTTTCACCTGGGAGCATTTGTGTGTCATGTCGCATGTGTGACTGTTTCGGTTGGGTGTTGGAACACCCAACCGAACCCAACACCCAACCGAATGGATGATATAGATTGATGAGGTAACACAATGCTTCACACAGATCTATTATTGCCACAGCTCTTTTGGCAACCTACTTTTCTCTTTATTTTACATCTAATTAATGAAGCATCTCCTTCCTAAATCATCAGTGTGAGACTATCAGGAAAAAGGATAAAAAGAATGACAATAACAGACAACCACAACACCTGCTTACAAAAGTATTTTTGGCCTGGATTTTGAACTCACAATGGAGAGAATTTTATCTGGGAGAGATAATTGTGCTTGTGCTCAGAACGTTTTTGCATCAGGGCTCTCCGTCATCTCAAGCAACAGGTAACACTTTCCATCAAACCTATAAAAGGTAACCAACACCTGCATAACCAAACCATCATTCCTCTCCCTTCCCACATTTTCCCGCTCCACCTCAATTTAAATCCTGCTCTAGCTACTCAAGATATCTGATAAAGTCAGTGACAGCCTTGAAAGTCTGTACTTTTTAATTGCATTTGTTGGTCAGAAAAAGTGCTATCTGATGCCTGATTCTTTTACAGACAAGAAAGTATGACCAAGTCTTTAAATGCCACTTAATATTTGAGATAACCTTGATTGTGGAAAATGAGGCTGTGGATCTATTTATGGCATATTTTCAGGTTTATGTGACTTAGCAAATCTACACTCTGAAGAATGTAGGCAGCTTCTTCAGCTAAAGAGTCGTGGTGGCGCAGTGGTTAGAGTGCAGTACTGCAGGCTACTTCTGCTGTCTGCTGGCTACCTGCAATTTGGCAGTTCAAATCCCACCAGGCTCAAGGTTGACTCAGCCTTCCATCCTTCCGAGGTGGGTAAAATGAGGACCCAGATTGTTGGGGGCAAATATGCTGACTCTAAACCGCTTAGAGAGGTCTGAAAAGTCTAAGTGTTATTGCTATTGCTAAATCTGGAGATATATTTCATCAGGATCTCATCAACATTCTGGATCCTATTCAAGCACAGGACATATCTGAAAAACATGGTTGGTTAGATGAAAAACTAATCCTCTTTGCACAAGTAGAAACTGTCCATACACTTAGAAATACTACATTTTGGTTTTGGTTATCACCTTTAAAGCACTCCATGGCTTAGGACCTGGTTATCTACGGGACCGCCTGCTACCACCAATAGCCTCCCACCGGCCAGTACGCTCCCATAGAGAGGGGCTCCTTCGGGTGCCGTCGGCCAAACAATGTCGACTGGCAGCCCCTAGGGAGAGAGCCTTCTCTGTGGGGGCACCTACGATCTGGAACGAGCTCCCCCCGGAGATACGGAGGATCCCGGATCTGCGCACCTTCCGTCGCGAACTCAAGACTTTCTTATTTCATCAAGCTGGCCTGGCCTAAATCTTTTCCCCTTTTAAATGTAATTTTTAATTTGTTTTTAAATTATTGGGTATTTTAAATTTGTCTCAGCCAAATTATTTAATTCGTTTTTATTCTATTTTAAATTTTTGTATTTCTGTGTTTTATTCTGTGGCTGTTCACCGCCCTGAGTCCTTCGGGAGTAGGGCGGTATATAAATCCAATAAAAACAAAAAACAAAACAAACAAAACATGCAGAATATCCTGAACATGCCCACAGAAAGAAAACAAGTAAAAAGGAGAAATCAAGCAGAGACAATAAACAGAAGTAAAAAAAAGAAGAAGAAGAAATGAAGAAGAAACAAATAAAGAAAAAAAAAACAGCAGGGTTAGCAGGAATCAACACTAGGATTAATATCAGATTGACAATTAAGCAGTAAATAATACCCCAATCAAGGAACTATAAACTCAGGCAACTAAATAGTAAACAACAAGGAAGTACCAAGAAGAAAAAAATATTCCCACCAACACTGAGAGGGCAACCCATTTAAATAAATAGAATACAAACCCCTTCTCCCTTCTAGCATTGATGATGTTACCTACTTGGATAATGAAACATCTGCAAGAAAACCATCACGCGCAGAGAGCATTAAGAACCCTACAAAAAAAAAGAAAAGAAATTGTCCTACTAGTAGCACTGCCAGTTCCCATGGTTCAAAGAAACCAGATCAAGTATATTTCACTTAAATATAGTTTTCTTTTATTGAATCAAATTTCCTTTGATCTTATAATCACATGCTTCCTGTGGCATGGGAACTTATAATGCTGAAGCTGTTTTGTGTATCATTATGTGATGCGATATGAAATTGCTTGATACCAAAGGAATTGTAGGAAGTAATGAAGATGACCTTGAAGGAGACATGCGGGAATCTTTACCCAGGCAAAAAGCTAAAACACTTTTCAAGCTCAGAAGGAGATAACATTCAAAAGTGGCCTTGGTAGACCCATCTCTAATTCTCCAAACTATGAGAAAGAGGAGGAGGTTAAGTATCAATTAATCAACAAAATCCATGGAGAAATGAACAGTATTACATTTAGTCTTAGAGATTTGAGCACTATTATCCTTAATGTCTTAAAATTAAATTTAGCTTTAAGAAACAATATCAAATAAAAGACAAGTAAAAATGCATGTAGAGATATATATGTATATATTTGCACCAATGAACCGAAAATGTATTGAATGTATCACTATATGTTATAATAAAAATCAAATTAAAAAAAATAAAATAAAAGAGAAGACCATCTCCAGGATGGACAGTCAAAAAAAAAAAAAAAAAAAGAGAAAGAGGAGGAGGTACTTGCAAGATTCTCTAATGATAAAAAAGGTCAAGATTTCCCTTGTCCAGTTGTATCTGACACTCATCTTGGTTTCCTAGCTGAGGGAGCCATAGTTGTCTGAAGATACTTCAATAGACATGCGGCCAGCATGACTATACACCTGAGGTGCACAGAATGCTCAACTTTCCCATTAAAGTGGTACCTATTTATCTACTTGCATGCTTTCGAACTGCTAGGTTGCCAGGAGCTGGGACAAGAATGGGAGCTCACCTGGTGATGTGGTGCTTGGGTCTCAAACTGTCAATCTTTGTGTTGACAAACCCATCATCTAAGCTGCTAGGCCACTATGCCCCACTCGGTTATAATAGCCAGTCTCAATAAAAGTAGTTTCAGCCATCTTCTGGAGTTGATTTCCTGGTCTGGTCTGATGTAGGAGATGGCTAGGCTGAGCCTTGAGCATCATCAGTCATGAGTCCCTGTGTGCCCACAAGAGATCTAAGATTAGCCCACCATGAATTCCTTTCTTAATTCCTGCTTCCTTTGACCATTAGTAGGTCAGATTCTTATAGAAAACTTTAGCTTGCAAACTCATTTGAATTGCCTGAATCTCCTGATTTCCCTGATGCATGACATCTCCCTAGTGAGGTTGATGGTTCTCAACTCATCCCATTCTTTCATACTTGAAGACCACAAATCCACTGCTCACACAGTGGTCTTTAGCCAAGAGGGATTGCCCACCTAGCTGCCATTTTGGTCCATTTGCTGATCAGATGGCGTGACTGTTCTGGGCTGGATAAATGTAGCATGTAGATACAAACTGTATCTGGCATGTAGAATCATGTTGCCAAAGTCTCTTCCCTTCAATTATGCAAATAAAGGACATCAATCATGCTCGTCGATAATCATATTCTATTATAATAGGTTTGGAGGCAAGCCATTCCTATCATAATTGAATATGGTGTAAGAAGGGTTGTTTACATTTTTAAGGTAGAGAGTATAAAAGGCTGAAAAACAGAGTCCTCCTCTCTCAGGAAGACAAAATCTACTGGGGAAAAGAGATCCAGCTTAGCCAGCTTGAGGTAGACCAAGAGTGATTTAAAAAAAAAGGCAAAAAAAAAAAAATATGGAGGAAGTTGGAAAATGGTTGCTTGCTTTGTTCCTGACTGCAGTAATGTTGTATTTCCTGAAACAACTGTGGTCCCGCAGAAATTATCCTCCTGGGCCCTTTCCACTTCCTTTCATTGGAGTCGCATGGCAGACGGGAATCCGAGTAACTCCGACACTCTTAATCAAGGTACTATCTCCAAACCTGTGATTTAAATCATGATGTTATTGAGCAAAGAGAATATTATTTTCCTGCCAGGTCACTAACATTTTCTGGAAGGTAGTGAGGGAAATTGGCTTAGCAGAAATGTCTCCTATTTCATTCTTTAGATACTGAGCCAATATGATCAAAATTGCTCTGTATCTTTTCAAAATGATTTAATCATGATTATCTTCCCACTGGTATATAATGACTCTTCTGCTCCTCTACCTGTCTAGTAATAATCACTAATTTTTTTTTAATAGAACAACAAAACGACTGGCAGTATATTTTGCTATGATTAACATGTATATTCAAATGGAAGTAAGTTGTGTGTAAACATGTGTAAACTTATCTTGTTCAATTTTATCCTGCCATTTTGATTTTATAGTTGAATAATTTCACATGTTGGTTTTCTGTTTTTCTGTTGGTTAGATAGGCAGAGTTATTTGATTGAGATTGGTGTCCATATAAGTTCGGAAGAATAATAGTAAGATTAATAATCTATCATCTCTCAATGAATGAATGAATGAATGAAATACTATTAAAGTATTAAAGGAAAGATTGCACTATATAAGGTTGTGCTTTTTACATGATTTACTAATCCTTTAACCATAATTAGAACATAATTAGAACTGGATGTGCGGGCAGCAAACTGGTGGCAATCTACAGAATATTTCACCACTGCCTTAAGTTGTGGACCAAAGCAAAGATTCTTTCTGAAGGAACTGATTTTTTAGTTTTCTTTAGTTCTTTATTATGTACAAGAAATAAGTAGATAAAAATCAAATAGAGAATACAAAATACAAGTCGATAAATAGCAAATCTGAAATTTCATGGTACTGATATATCCAGATTCCTTATCAGAAGCGTATAGTATTTTCACACCCTTTTGCTAGTGAAAAGGCAGTATCCCTGTTGGATTTTAAACAAGAATATATTTGGTTAACATTATTCAAATGTTTAAAACCAGAAATAGTAAACAATTCTACCAATTCTATTCATTATACAGTGTTAAAATATAAGCTTTAAAAGCAAATTTGGGGTATGACACAATTCCATGCTTAATATTATGAAGGTTTTCATCCAAATTCTGAGTAGGATTTACTTTTTAAATTCAAAGTTAGAATTAATAGAATAACAGAGTTGAAAGGGACCTTGGAGGTCTTCTAGTCCAACCCTCTGCTCAGGTACGAAAGCCTATACCATTTCAGACAAATGGTTGTCCAATCTCACCTTAAAAACTTCCATTGTTGGAGCATTTACAACTTCTGGAGGCAAGTTGTTCCACTGATTAATTGCTCTGTCAGGATAGTTCTCATTAATTGTGTAGGTTGCTTGTCTCCTTCGTTAGTTTCCATCAAGTTATGTCGACATTGGGGCATACACCTTCAATTTGGTTAGCTCTTTTTCTAAAAAGGAAATCCGAGGTCTTTTCCAATAAAAGGAATGTAAAATTCTTGCTTACTTTAACATATGCAGTGATAAGTCAACCAATTGGCAAAATTTAATAAAAAACATTTCAGATTGCAATCGGATGACATCATCAGGCTAGGAACATCAACAGTGCAGGGAAGGTGTAATTTGCTGGTTGTTTATGAGGGCATTGTTTCTTCCCTGATGGTTTATCTGGTGCTATTTACTGCAAGTAAACATTCAGGCATAAGGAAACAATAGGGTGCCATTTTAGATAGTCTCGATTACATTCATTTAGTGGCTGTTCAATAGCTGATTGGCTGACGGCTATTTGTCCCATGCAGCCAAAGGCCCAGTCAAACAGTGTTTGGGCGAATGGGCAAGTCAGTGGTGAAATGTAAAATTGGTTACTACCGGTTTTGTGGGTGTGGCTTGGTGGTGGTGGGAGTAATGTGACTGGGTGGGCATGGCCAACTTTTCTTTTTTTTAAAGCATTTTTTCTACAATCTTCTCGGCCGAAGAGGTTGTAGAAAAAAAAATGCTTTTAAAAGCCTCTGACGATCAGGCAACTCAGCTGAGCCTCGTCAGAGGCTTTTAAAAGAATTTTTTCTTCAAACTCCTCAGCTGAAGAGGTTGTAGGAAAAAAATGCTTTTAAAAGTAAAAAAAAAAGCCTCTGATGATCGCGCTGCTCAGCTGGGCATGGCGGGGGGGTGGGCCACACAGGGATTTTTGCTATCGGTTCTCCGAACCACCCGCCGCCATCGCTACCGGATCAGGCGATCTGGTCTGAACCCGGAGCATGTCACCCCTGGCAGGGATGAAGGGTGAGAGGCCTTCAGGGGTCCATTGGCTGTGGAGAATGGCCGGGGGAGGGCCAGCGGAGGAGGAAAGCTGGCTGTAAATAGGCTGAGGTGGATGCCTGGGAGCGAAGGGTCCGTGCCTAAGCATCCTAGACAGGAGTGAAATGCTGTGAAGTCTGCTACCGGTTCGCTTTGCTACTGGTTCGCGCTCTGCATGCATGCACACTACAGGTGCTACTGCACAGCACTTAAAAAGGAGGATTAAGAAGCCTTTTCTGAGACTTCAAAGGTAAGTAGAACAGCAAGGGGGGGAACAGCTGTGCTGCACGATTTAGATTCGCTAGAAAGCAGAATTTCCTGCTTTCTAGCAAATATAAACCACACAGCACAGCTGATCCTCAGAAATACCGGTTCAGCTGAACCAGTAGCATTTTTTTTACTACCGGTTCACCCGAACCGGTAGCATTTCACCCCTGGTCCTAGACCAACTTCCTGGACTCGCCAGTCAGAATTCTTTAACTAACAGGGTCCATAACCTACCATCCTTGATCAGTTAGGACAGGCCGATGTAATAGAGAAAACACAGTTCCGTGGGTAACCTGGCCCCCTGCTATGAAGGCATTTTGCCCACGTCTGATCAGATTCTGCAGTTCTGGAAAAGACTTCATTTGTACCGTAATTTGTAATCGGCAACCAAGACTGAATGTAATATGTTCATTTTCTGTTTGGATTCAAACGGCAGCTGGCTAAGCGATATGGAAACATCTACACAATATGGTCGGGGCACATGGCGATAGTAGTCTTCTCTGGATTTCAGGCAGTCAAAGAAGCCCTCATTCAAACGGAAGACTTTGCTGAGCGACAGATGACTCCTTTTTTTAAAGAGGCCTTTAAAAACAAGGGTAGGTTTTCATTTATTTTTATTTATTTATAATTTAATTTATATACCGCCCTTCTCCCGAAGGACTCGGGGCGGTGTACAGCCAATTAAAAACACAAGATACAAACAACAGTTTAAAATAGTTAAAAGTATTAAACAATTTCGGCCCAAATTTAAAACCCAAAATTAAAAACACCCAATTTAAAATCATTTACATAGATAGCCCTGCCTGACGGAACAGCAAGGTCTAACCTCATGAAGGTTAAGGGGTAATTTTTTTCTGGAAAAATTCAGAATTCTACTCTCTCCTCTGTTTTTCTCTGCCTTTGTTCAATATAACGCATGAGATTCAAATAGAATGCATGAGATTTTAGAACAGATCCAGTCTTGTACCATTGGAACAGGCAGAAGCTGATTTGGCATCATTGGTCCTTTTTTTTTTTGTGCTGGAAAAAAAGGGGATCTCCAAGATGGCCAAGTAGAATTTGCATGAGAACACACTTCATCTAAAGCCAAGGGAATTCTGGGAGTTGAACTTCACAAGTCTTGAAGTTGCCAAGGTTGCAGACCCCAGATCTAAGCTGCCGAACGATATTTTGGTGATAATTTTTATGAGCATAATTCCTCACTGATTTCTGATGGCTTCAGGTATTATATTTTCAAATGGTCCAAACTGGAAGCAACAAAGACGGTTTGGATTAATTACGATGCGAAAACTTGGACTCGGGAAGAAAGGCATGGAGAATCGAATAGAAGAGGAGGCTCATCGCTTGGTTAAAATCTTTGCGCGTGCAAAAGGTATGTTGTCTACAATCTCTGTATGTCTCGGAATGATATGTCTAGTGTTTCATTAATACAGAATACAGAATAACAGAGTTGGAAGGGACCTTAGAGGTGTTCTAGTCCAACCCCCTGCTCAAGCAGGAGAACCTATGCCACGCCAGACAAGTGGCTGTCCAGTCTCTTCTTAAAAGCCTTATGTTGTGGCTCCGTTACCTGAGCCTGTGTTATCGGCAGGAGAGGACTCCGAGAGTGAAGGAGAGGAGTTGACAAGGCCTCCCTCTCCAGGACCCTCCTCTCTGGCAATGCCTTCGGTGTCCGCCGAAGGTCAAGAGATAGGCCCGGGGCCAAGCATGTCAACGCAGCCACAGGTGGACAGTAATGAAGAAGATGAGTCTTGGCTGGATCCTCGGCAGCATCGCAGAGATAAGTGCGCGCAACAGAAGAAGAGGCGTGCCAGGGATTAGGCTGAGTCACTGGACCACACCCCACAGGATATAAAAGAGGGTGTGGTGGCCAGTTCAGCTCTGTGACAAGCAAAAAATGGATATCGGAAGACCTTCTTTGTATTTACTGGACTTTGTTGATTATTGTGTATTGGCTTTGTTCCCGGACGAAGGGAGAAACTCCCCCCTCATGAGTAAAGAATACCTGGCAGCCAGCCACTGGGTTGCTGCCAATTCTGATACCAGATAAAACTGTTGTCGGCTGAGTTCTTTAGCTGTTGCCTGTCTGTGGAGATGCGTGTGTGAGACGGGGACAGAACACCTTAAAAAAGTTTTGGAGCACCCACAACTTTTGAAGGGAAGCTGTCCCACAGATTAATTGTTCTCACTGTCAGGAAATTTCTCCTTAGTTATAGGTTAGTTTCCATCCATTGCCACGGTGGCACAGTGGTTAGAGTGCCGTACTGCAGGCTACCTCTGTTGACTGCCGGCTGCCTGCAATTTGGCAGTTCAAATCTCACCAGGCTCAAGGTTGACTCAGCCTTCCATCCTCCCAAGGTGGGTAAAATGAGGACCTAGATTGTTGGGGGCAATAAGCTGACTCTGTAAAACCATTTAGAGAGGTCTGTAAAGCACTGTAAAGCCGTATGTAAGTCTAAATACTATTGCTATTGCTATTCTTGTCCTGTCTTCAGGTGCCTTGCAGAGTAGGTTGATCCCCTACAATGAATGGTTGCTCTGGAAAGAATGCAGAGAAGAGCAACCAGGATGATTAAGGGACTGGAGGCTAAAACATATGAAGAACGGTTACAGGAACTGGGCCTGGCTAGTCTAGTGAAGAGAAGGACCAGGGGAGACATGATAGCAACCTTTCAATATTTGAGGGGCTGCCACAGAGAGGAGGGGGTCAAGCTATTTTCCAAAGCACTCAAAGGCCAGACAAGGAATAATGGATGGAAACGGATCAAGGAGAGATTCCAGCTAGAAATAAGGAGAAATTTTTCTGACAGTGAGAACAATCAACCCATGGAACAGGAGTTGCCTTCAGAAGTTGTGGGAGCTTCATCACTGGAAGCTTTCAAGAAGAAACTGGACTGCCATCTGTCAGAAATGGTCTAGGGTCTCCTGCTTGGGGTGGGGTTGATGACCTACAAAGGTCCCTTCCAACTCTTGTTTGTTTGTTTGTTTGTTTGTTTGTTTGTTTATTTATTTATTTATTTATTTATTTATTTATTTATTTATTTAATTCAATTTGTATACCGCCCTTCTCCTGGTGGATTTGTTAATTTGTTAATGTTAGGCCCTCTTCTTTGTGGCATCCCCTTAGATATTGAAACACTGCTATCATGTCACCCCTTGTCCTTCTTTTCATTAGGCTGGACATAACCAATCCTCGCAACTATTCTTCATATATTTTAACCTCCAGTCCCTTAATCATCTTTGTTACTCTTCTTTGCATTCTTTCTAGAGTCTCAACATCTTTTTTTTTATATGGAGATTTTATATCAAGGCTTTTATATCAGGGTTAATCGTTTTCATGTTCCCACTGACCACATGAACTGTGTCCCAGCTGAATGCAAGGCCTATAACAGGGAATCTCTTATATTCTATCAGAGCAAGACAGAGTCAACAAATTCACTGTAACAGTCCCTATTTTGATAGCCTAACTGCCCAAGAGTTTCTGTCCCATGGCCCATTTCTTCTACCCTTTTGGTGAGAGAGGCTTTTGCAGGGCCCACTACTACTAGCCAAATGTATAAAAATAAATGTTGGTTGATGGATTCTCAACTACAGGTAGTCCTTGACTTACCACTGGCAAATATTCAGTTATAATAGCACTGAAAAAGTGACATACAGATGCCCTAATTAAATCATGAGTCTTGAATCAACCTTCAGAAGAAATCCATTATTTATTAGGAGCTTCATGTCAGCACGTCCCCAGGTGAAGCCAGCTCTGACCCTACGTAATTTACGTTCCAATTATGACTGTTTCCCCCCGTCCCCCAGGGTGTGTCACCAATCACATTTGCCAACGGAGCAATTTTGCGGGTTGTAGAGGTCACTCCCCTCCGGGCTGCTGTAGGTAACCCTGGGATACAGCCTTGAGAGAGATAAGTGTGAAATGTGAATCTGACTTTGGCTGCTGTGCCATTTCGCTGGTTTCCAATCCCCCCTGACAACTTGACAGCAGGCCAGGGATGCTTTGCAAGTTGACATTTTCACACTTAAAACTGTCACAACCTCTCCGTGGTCACATGATCAAAATTTGGGTGTTTGGCAACCAGCACACATTTATGGTGGTTGCAGTGTCCCAGGGTCATGGGATCTTTTTTTGCGACCTTCCCAGCCTGGCTTCTGACAAGCAAAGTCAATGGTGAAGGCTGGATTCACTTAATGAATGCATGGTTCAACTTCACAACTGCAGTGATTGCCTTAGCAACTGTGGCAAAACCGGGCGTGAGTCACTTAACAACTGCCTTGCTTAGCAATGAGAATTCTGATCACCACTGTGTACAATTGTGTGCATGTACTATCTGTACCTCCTGCCTTTTGTCCTGAAATTCCACTAACGATATAAATAGTTAAAAGTATAATAGCATCAGTCTGATGGTGATTTTTTTTAAAATTATTATTTCCAGAACAGCCACTGGATCCTTCGTTGCCTGTCACTACTGCAATCTCCAATTTGATATGCATTATGGTTTTTGGGTATAGATTTTCTGCCAAAGATGAAAAATTCCAGAAAATGTTAAGAAACTTGAATTACTATATGAAATTTGGAGGCAGCTTTGTTTACCTGGTGAGTTGTCTTCTTTCAGTTTACTGAGTCAGACAAGTCTTCTAGAGACCCTGACTCCATCTTCCATCATCTTGCTGATCATTTTGAGATTCATTTATCAATGTAAGCAAACGAGACAAGAATTTAAAACAGAGTTTTAGCAGCAGAGGGAAACTCATAATCATGTTATTATGAGTTATAGAATAACTCATAACAACTCTGTTTTCTATTCTATTCTATTCTATTCTATTCTATTCTATTCTATTCTATTCTATTCAGTCTCCATTGGCTGACCTGTTACCATGTCTATTCCAGTTCATGAACCCTTATACACTGACATCACTGTCAGGAAATTTCTCTTTAGTTCTAGGTTGGTTCTCTCATTGATTCGTTTCCACCCGTTGCTTCTTGTCCTGCCTTCTGGTGCTTTAGAGAATAGCTTGACTCTTTTTCTTTGTGGCAGCCCTTTAGATCTTGGAGCACAGAAGTGCATCATTCGATTCTGCCTGCTGGCATCCAGAAGCAGTTTACCAAATATATACAAACTACATTGCCTGGAGAATTATGAATCATTCAGATAATATTATCAAAGTGCTAAACTCAAATAATTGGCTGATGATATCATTGTGATAGGATTTTTTTTGTGTGTGTGCAATTTTTCCGTTAGCTGTATGAGTTGTTTCCACGAGTGATGAAATACCTTCCAGGATATCATCAGAGAGTGTTCCGTGCTTTAAATGAGGTCACCTTGTTTGCCAAAGAAGAGGTAGAGAAGCACAGGGAACTCCAATCACTGCACGACCCACAAGACTTCATTGATTACTACCTTCTTCAGATGGAGAAAGTAAGTTTCTTCCTGGAAAGAAATTTTTGTGGGTCTCCAGAACTCAAAATGGCACCCTACTTTGCTAAGGCCAACATACTGAGCCATCTTGCTGTATTGTTCGCATGTGCAGCTACTCTCTGGCTTATAACAGTTTGCTTAGTGACCATTCGAAGTTACAGTAACACTGGAAAAAAAGTGATTTATGATCATTTTTCACCCTTCAACTGTTGCAACATTCCCATGGTCACATGATTAAAATTCAGATGCTTGGCAACTGACTCATATTTATGACGGTTGAAGTGTCCTGGGGCCATGCGACTTTCTGATAAGCAAAATAAATGGGGAAAGTAGTTCATGTCACTAACTTAACAACTGCTAGTGATTCACTTAACAGCTGTGGCAAGAAGGTCATACAACAGGGCAAAACTCACTTAACCACTGTCTCACTTAGCAACATAAATTTGGGGCTCAACCGTGGTCGTAAGTCGAGGCAGGAAAAAAAAAAAGCAAGGCACAGAGCTCACAACCAACAACCCTGTTGCTAAAATTTACCTCTGGGAACAGCTGACTGGGGGTATTCCAGGAGGCCGATCCACCTGCCAATCAGCTTTTTTCTTATTTTCCTCCCCAAAAACGAAGGTGCATCTTATACTCCGAAAAATACTGTAGTTACAACAATTTGTTTAGTGACCACTGGAAATTACGACGGCACTGAAAAAAATGTCTTATGATCTTTTTTTCACATATACAACCATTGCAGCATTCCCTTGGTCACATGATCAAAATTCAAACAACTGATTCATATTTATGACGGTTGCAATGCAGTGTCCTGGGGTCACGTGATCAACTTTTGGGAACCTCTCACAAGCGAAGCCAATGGGGAAGTCGGATTCGCTTTACAACCGTGTTACTCATTTAACAACAGCAAAGTCAATGAAGGGGAGCCGAATTTGCTCAATGAGTGCGGGATCCCCTTAACAAGTACAGCGGTTTGATTAGCGACTGTGACAAAAAAAAAACACGGTTTTTAAAGTCGGGTTTTGACTTAATTTACAACCTGTCTTGCTTATCGACAGAAATGCTGGTCCCAATTGTGGTTGTAAGTTGAGGACTGGCTGTGAAAAGAGGTCTTATACACAAGGAGGACCTTCCTCCAACACAGCGGTAAATGATGAATTGGGATTGTTAAGTTGATTTCATATTTTCTATTATCTACAACAGACCAAAGGAGACCCTGAGTCTGCTTATGATGAAGAGAACCTAGCTCAGTGCATTGTTGATTTTTTTATCGCAGGCACAGAAACCACGGCCACCACCTTACAATGGGCACTGCTACTCATGGTGGCTTACCCGGAGATCCAAGGTGAGACTCCTATGTTACACGGGCACGAAACGCCTCTCTTGATCCTGATTTTATTTTATTTTATTTTATTTTATTTTATTTTTTATTTTATTTTATTTTATTTTATTTTATTTTATTTTATTTTATTTTATTTTATTTTATTTTATTTTATTTTATTTTATTTTATTTTTATTATTTTATTTTTGATTTATATGCTGCCCTTCTCTGGAGACTCAGGGCAGCTTACAATGCGTTTGATCTGTCCCCGTCTACACACACACACAAACACAGCCAGCCGAGGGTTAAGAAAGTACTTGGCACGCACACAGGTCGTTATCTCAAACTTGGCAACAATATAAGCACCGTCTGCCAAGAGCTTTACTGCAACAGATAACATAAAATTACATACGCATTGCAAATAGTCCAGCAAAACAATATCCCTTCGGCAGCTTCAGACGTTGTTCAAGTGACTAGCCAGAGTTAGTTTTTGTTCGTCACAGAGTTTTACCAGCCACCACCCTCTCTTATATAGTCTCTGGGGTGTGGTCCAGTGACTCAGTTCTAATCCCTAGCATGCCTCCTTAACTGCTGCAACCGTTTATCACGCCTTCGTTGGCGTGCATCCAGGAACGACGGCTCTCCTTCCTCGCTTTCATCAGAGACACCTGGCTCCTGACTAATCTCCTCTCCGTTGGCCGGCACCTGAGACAGAGCCAGAGGGAGGGGCCTGGAGAGGGAGGCCTGGCTGACTCCTCTCCCTCATGTTCGGAGCCTTCTTCCTCCGATGAGATAGGCTCAGAGGGCGGGGCCACAACAGCGTTAAGCAGTAGCCTTCATACTTTTGTATATTTTATACAAAGTCAGTTTATTGCCCCCACAAACCAGGTCTTCATTTTACCTACCTTAGAAAGGATGGAAAGGCTGAGTCAACCTTGAGCCTGGTGAGAATTGAACTCGCAGTAATTGCAGGCAGCTGGAAACTATATACTACCTTTAACAGTAGCATTAGTCTGCTGCGCCACTCAGGCTCATTTTAGCGATGGATCCCAAGATTTCCTGCTTGAACGCATGAGGAATAATGGCTCATCTCTAAGAAGCAATAGGAAATTCAACCCCCCACAAACAATGCTATTTAATGGAACTGAAGGCAAAGTGTCTCAAAATAGTAAACTTAATTCAATGGCTTTGATATACGTTTGACGTGAATATATGTATTTCCTCCTGGTTTTGTGACCCTCCTCAGTCAAATTTTTCTCTTGTTCTCATAACAATTGGGCCACCCCATCTGAGCTGTCCAACTCCAACTCCTTTTTTTTTTCAAATAAAGTTTTTTTATTTTTTAAGACAGACAAACATTTAATACATCAATCCTCTCTTCCCTGTGACATCTCAGTGTTATCTTCTAGGCTTCTTTTCCATCTTCCATAAGTTTCTTCTATCTTCATCTTTAGTTCATTTCTAAATTCAATATTACAATCATCCTTTGTACATAATTATAGTATCAATCATTTGTATCTCTTTTCCAACCAACTATAAAAATAGTTCCATGTTTTAAAATATTCTGATTCCTCCTTGTCTTTAATCATCAAAGTTAATCTATTCATTTCTGCACAGTCTAAATTTTTTTTTATTACTTCTTCTTCCAAAGGTACTTTCTCTGATTTCCAATTTTTAGCATACACAATTCTTGCAGCTGTTATTACATGTATAATCAAATATGCATTTTCCTTACTATTTTTTTCTGGAAAGATACTCCAAATCCTTATAGGATGGTCTTCGCTGTACTCTTTGCTGCCATCTATTGGTTGTCTGGATTTTGCTTACCAAATATGGTAGCCAGCAGGGATGAGTTCTACTTACCTTTACTACCGGTTCGCAACGGGGCGGCGCACGCGTGCTCGCTTCACTCATGCGCACGCTCTTCTGCACAAGCGCAGAAGCGTTTTGATGATGTCAGGGTCAGTGGGCGGAGCCTCCTGCCAGTTTTACTACCGGTTCTATAAAACCAGTGCGAACCGGGGGCAACCAGCTACCAGTGGTGAAATCCAAATTTTTTTACTACCTGTTCTGTGGGCGTGGCTTGGTGGGCATGGTGTGGCTTGGTGGGCATGGCAGGGGAAGGATACTGCAAAATCTCCATTCCGACCCCTCTCCAGGGGAAGGATACTGCAAAATCCCCATTCCCTCCCCACTCCTGGGGGAAGGATATTGCAAACTCTCCATTCCCACCCCACTCTGGGGCCAGCCAGAGGTGACATTTGCCGGTTCTCTGAACTACTCAAAATTTCCACTACCAGTTCTCCAGAACCTGCTGGATTTCACCCCTGATGGCAGCCCTTCATAAGAGTAAACAGACAAAACATGATCCTAGAACTTCAGGTTCATCCAGCTCATGTGTCATGTGACTATGCTTTGTGATTATTATTTTTTTTTGCTGGTTTCCAATGCTTTTTGCAAAAAAACATCCATTTGGGGGAAAGGGATTTGGGAATTGAAGTCCATCTGTCTACAAACTCCCCAGGGATAGTCTCAAAGATGCTTTTTCAAAAGGCATCTAGACTTCCTTTGTTCTTTCTTGAAGATGTTTCGCTTCTCATCCAAGAAGCTTCTTCATCCAAGAAGAAGCCTCTTGGATGAGAAATGAAACATCTTCAAGGAAAAACTAAGACAGTTCAATTGCCTTTTGAAAAAAAACACCTTTGGATCAAGAGCCTTGGTAGTACAGTGGTCTAAGGCACCCTGTTATTAAGCTGGTTATTAAGACCAGCTGCCTGCAATTACTGCAGGTTCGAATCTTGCCAAGGCTCAAGGTTGACTCAGCCTTCCATCCTTTCTAAGGTAGGTAAATTGAGGACCCAGTTTGTGGGGGCAATAAGCTGACTTTGTATAAATATACAAAAGGATGAAGGCTATTGCTTAGCGCATTGTAAGCCGCCCTGAGTCTCGGGAGAAGGGCGGCATATAAATCAAATAAAAAACAACAACAACTATGACCTGGATGATTGAGAATCTCCATAGACATTCCCCAGGGGGAGATCCATCACTTTATGCTTTGTCATCACAACTCAGTTCTTACTCAGGTTCTTTGTGAATTATGTCCCATGTTCTTCACTGGCTGCGTCAATTGTAATGGAGTATCTGAGATAATTTAAGAAGAGATTGGACAACTAATTTGTCTGAAATGGTATAGAGCCTCCTGCTTGAGTAGTGGGTTGGACTAGAAGACCTCCAAGGCCCCTTTCAATAAGGTCCCTTATAACTCTGTTATAATTTTCCTTTTCTATTATGGTCTTCAGAGAAAGTCCGCAAGGAAATAGAAGATACGTTGGATCCCACCCATTCAATCTGCTATCAAGATCGGGTGAAACTCCCATATACCTATGCTGTGATTCATGAGGTTATGCGTTTGAAATATGTGTTAATTGCTGGCGTCCCCAGGCAAAGTGCCAAAGACGTGAATCTCTATGGATATCACATTCCAAAGGTAAGGACGTTGATACAAGAACAATTAACATACCAGAGGACGCTTCCTTTAGTAAGGAATTTAGTGCAATGGACATGTTGAAATCCTTATTCTTTTTTTTTAAACTGAAAGTCAAGAAATTCATGCATTCAATGCAAGTAATGATTCAATTTCTGGGAAACATAAGGCAAAAATTGGGCCTCTTTTTTTCAGTAACTTGAAAAAAAAGTTTATTGCAGTTTAAGCAGCACAATTTTTCAATGATATACTCTGACATTTTAGCGATCAAGATTAACCAAAACCTGCTTCTATATGTGTTTGTATGTAGGTCTTTGGTTATTCGGGTTTTCTCCCACGTAAAATTGGAGATGTCTTGGCAACGTTTCGACGAAGTCTCATTCGTCATCTTCAGGCTGGTGTTTTCGGCTTCGTGCTTCTAGGAGCCAAGACACCTCCAATTTTACGTGGGAGAAAACCCGAATAACCAAAGACCTACATACAAACACCCACGAAACCTCAGAAAACATATATATATATATATATATATATATGTATGTATGTATGTATGTCTTTATATATATCTTTTTCTTTTTTTCGTAGGCTTTTATGTGCATATTCTTTCTAGCCAGGTTTTACCTACGTAAGCTAAGATGTTATACAGCCCTGGTTCTGTGAAATATATATATATATATAAAGATGGGATGAAAACAAACAAACAAACAAACAAGCCTCTAGAAACTTCATCAGCAGTATATTGAAATGCATTTCTTCCTCCTTCAGGGGACTTTGGTTGTTACAGATCTGAATTCAGTCCTTTATGATCCCAAGAGATGGGAGACTCCTGAAAAATTCAACCCACACCATTTTTTGGACAAGGATGGGCATTTTATATCAAGGGAAGATTTTTTGGCATTTGGAGCAGGTAAATCTAAAACACACCTTTCCTGAATTATTTAAAATACATTCCTCTGGGAATTTATGGGTGAATGGCCATTTTCTTATGATTCATCCACCAAGTGTTGTGCTGAGATAACAGTGATCAGGAGAGGCTGCATGAGACCTTAACCATGGCTGGTGACACTCCTTCACCCAAGTCCCTATTGAAATGCTTTCCTCCTGGTCTTCAGACCAACCTGTTTGATTTCTCCAGTTTTGCCCATAATTTTAAATATTGTACAGGTAGTCCTAGACTTGTGGACACATAAGAGCTCCAGTTTTCCATTGCAAAGCAAGACAATTGTTAGGCAAGTTATGCCCCATTTTATGATCTGATTCTGTAATTGGAAACACGACGTTGAAACTCTATTGGTGGACATTCTGAGGTTGCCCATCAGTGGTGGGTTTCAATTTTTTTTACTACCGGTTCTGTGGGTGTGGCTTGATGGGCATGGCATGGCATGGTGGACGTGGCAGGGGAAGGATACTGTAAAATCTCCATTCCCTCCCCAATCCAGGGGAAGGTTACTGCAAAATCCCCATTTCCTCCTGATCAGCTGGGACTCAGGTGGTATTTACCGATTCTCCAAACTACTCAAAATTTCCGCTACCGGTTCTCTAGAACTGGTCAGAACCTGCTGAAACCCACCTCTGTTGCCCATCACTGATACTTCTTGTCTTCTGTGCTTGTCAGATGATGATAGATATCAAGGTAAACCACAGGAGTGATATGCTTTACTTGTCTAGTTTAAACATCTGGTTTAATGAAAAGAAGGACTAGGGATGACATGATAGCAGCATTCCAATACTTGAGGGGCTGCCACAAAGAGGAGGGCGAATAGCTGTCAATCACTTCTAACCCCTTCTCCTTTCCTTATCTTTGCACTGCAGGGCCTCGAGTGTGCCTGGGTGAGCAAATGGCCAGGATGGAGCTCTTCCTTTTCGTGACCATCCTGCTGAGGTCCTTTAAGTTTCAGCTACCGGAAGGAGTCAAAGAACTCAGTCTAGAGCCCGTTGTGGGATTATCGCTGCACCCTCATCCTTACAAACTTTGTGCTATTCCTCACTGTCGGACTCCGTAAAATCGAGATGACTGCTGTAAAACTTGCTTGTTGGTTTTTACCTTTAGACCGAAATTCTACCCTGAGCACATTGCTTGGATTTTTGCTCGTCCTAGAGGTTTCTTAGAAGGTTAAGAAATATTGCTATTTCTTACCATTTCTTTTTATTTCCATGCTGTTCTTTCTCTTGAAAGCGATGAGAGTGGCATACAAACCATGGTACTACAATCTGCTGTAAAAACCATTACAGTTAAACTGTAACTATATTAGTGCAAAACTGTACAGGACAAACAAAACAAGGAATCGAACAATGGAATTTCTGTGATTTAGTAAACGGGCCATTGGTCCTACTACTGGGCCATTGTTGCTCTGCTAGTGCACAGGTGAAAACAATGTTTTGAGTAATGTTTAAAACAAGATACCGGTAGACATTTGTGAGTTTTGCCTCATTTTTTCGACCGTTCTTGCCACGGTTGTTAAGTGAATTTCTGCAGTTGTTAAGTCAGTAAGATGGTTGTGGAGCGAATCTGGCTTCCCCGTTGACTTTGCTTGTCAGAAGGTTGCAAAAGGGGATCACATGACCCAGAGACCAGTGGTGGTATTCAGCCGGTTCTATCCTGTTTTGGCGAACTGGTAGCGGCGGCTGCGGGTGGCTCCGCCCAGCTACCCGGATGTAATCACGTCCCATTTATCCACATTTTTGATGCTCTGCGCATACACATTTGCGAACCAATAGCGAAGGTAAGTGAATATCACCCCTGCCGGAGACACTGCAAATATCATAAATTATGAACCAGTTGTCAAGCGTCCAAATTTTGATCATGTGACCATGAGGATGCTGCAATGGTTGTAAGCGTGAAAAACGGACATCTATTACTTTTTCCAGTGCCATTGCAACTTCAAATGATCATTAAATGAATGGTTGTAAATCGAAGATTAGCTGTATTCCTGGAGAACACTTGCCTTCATCCAGAAGAGAAATCCATAACCGTGGCTTGGTGATTAATTAAGACCTTCTCTTGACCCTCTGCTGCAAAGGATACCTACTGATGGACCATGAACATGGCTTCCTTGGTTGTTCTTAGTACACGAGTTGGTGGAACTGGAGAGGCAGATATTTAACACACAATTGGTGCCTGATACAGTAATGAAGTCTCGTATTCTGATAAAGGTGGAAGATTAAAATCAGGGAGCTGTGATCTTCCAAACATGGGTGAGGCATTAAGCAGAAAAGCTCATTCAGCAACATTCCTCTCTTTCTCTCTCATAAAGTTGGAGGAAAACTTAGAGGACATTTGATACAAGCCTCTTCTCAAGGCAGGTTTGACTAAAACATCTCTGGTAGATGATATTCAGCCTCTCTTTGAAGAACACCTACTGAAGGAGAATTTGGCACTTCATGCGGCAGCCTCTCCCACTGGCTGGCATCTCAAACCATCCGTAAATTTATCACCGGTGTATTTATTTAATGTACGTATATGGCTGCCCAGCTCAACAAGTGACTCTGGGCAGTGAACACAATATTAATAAATAAAACAATAACTAAAATGAAAGCTTGAGGAAAAAGCTGAGAAATACAACTGCCATTAATGAAGTTGGACGTTTGTTCTCCAAACTTGTGGGTTGGTTTCCAAGCTAGGTAACATCTTCAGCAGAGTTTAGGGGATGTCAGTTTGTGTGTTTTTCTGCTTACGGAGGCTTTATATGGTCAGTAGGTCTATCATTAAGCAATACAACCAGGAGATGGGCACCCAGCGCACACTTGGGACCCCAGATCTGGCCACAGAAATGAATCTTTGGGGCCTTGGGAAAAGGAACAGAGTCTGGGTCAACCTAATCTATGGTGGGAGTGTTCTGTTCCCCAGGCATCTGGCTCCACTGGGAACTGGCAGATAAACTCTAGCAAACAGGTTTTCACCCAGATTATATTTATTTCGGGAATCCTTAAACACATAGATTTACAATCATGGTGAGTCAAGGTGAGGTTCATCCAAATATTTCATAATCTATCCCATTTCCTAGTATAGTAGTTCTGTCCCCCTGTTCAGAAAGCATGTTTCTCTCTTCTGAGGTAATTCAAAAAATGGCCAGGTCTTTGTTCTAAACCCACAGAATGCCTCAGTGGCCAATCAGACACACAGATATGGTCATATGTCATGGACTACATTTCCCATAATGCAATCTCTCTCTCTACATCTCCCACAATGCAATCTCTTTTTAAATTTTGTATATATGTATTTTATTGTTGGCTGTTTACCACCCTGAGTCCTTCGGGAGTAGGGCGGTATATAAATCAAATAAAAGTAAAGTAAAGTAAAGTAACTCACCACAACTCACTATCCGTAACAGCACAGGGAGAATTTTCCAGAAGGCAGGTGCTACAACAGAAAAGTTCTTCCTGATGTCCAGCTTACATCTTCTTCCTTATGTTATTAGTTCTGGTCCTGCCCAGGAGAGAAGGGGAGATGTTAAGTGAGTTTTGCCCCATTTTACAACCTTTCTTCCCACAGTTGTTAAGTAAATCACTGCAATTGTTCAGTTAGTAACATGGCCGTTACGCGAGTCTGGCTTCCTCTTGACTTTGTCAGAAGGTCACAAAAGGTGATCACATGACCCCTTGACACTGCAACCGTCATAGATGTGAGTCAGTTGCCAGGGGTCCGAATTTTGATCACATGACCATGGGGATTCCCCCCCCCTCCCCAGTGCCGTTGTAACTTTGAACAGTCACTCAACAACTGGTTGTAAATTGAGGACTACCCGTTTTGAAGACTGCAATACTTTTAAAACAACTCCAGCATTTATATTCATAATCTAATTTTTTTTTTTAAAAATGATTTATATGCCGCCCTTCTCTGGAGACTCAGGGCGGCTTACAATGTGTTAAGCAATAACCTTCATACTTTTGTATATTTATACAAAGTCATTTTATTGCCCCCATAATCTGGGTCTTCATTTTACCTACCTTAGAAAGGATGGAAGGCTGAGTCAACCTTGAGCCTGGTGAGATTTGAACTTGCAATAATTGCAGGCAGCAGATGTAAGTGGATGTTATTTAGTCTGCTGAGCCACCAGAGCTCCTAATTTCTTTGGTTAGCCTTCAGGTTTTAATTCTGAAACTTTCATGGTGCTTAACATCTTTACAATTCAACATACAACAATTAACATTTCTAAACTGTTTATGTTTTGCAACACAACACTTAGACTTTTTCTATGTTTACCATGTCTCATATAAATGTATCAAATATATATGTATTTGAATGATAATTGCATTAGACAATGGGCTGATTCTGATTCCGGGGTTTTTACTATTTAATTATTTTAGATTTCTAATTGGTTTTAATTAGGATTTTATTCTGTTGTTGTTTGTTTTTCAATCTTCTGTTCGCCGCCCTGAGTCCTTCGGGGGAAGGGAGGCATATAAATATATGTAGATAAATAAATAAATTACATAGAACTGTAACTATTTACTGTTAAAATATATTGTACTTCCCCCCCCTTTGTTGTTTTTGACTTCACTTAAAAAAAGAGATGTACTTTTCAGGTTTTTTTCTTTTCTTTGAAAAAATTATGGATTTGTACTTTTGGGGATTTTTTTTCATTTCTTTTTCAATGCTATGCTGCTGAGTTGTCAAATTCCAAATGCTAAGTATATATTTCAAAAGGATGTTATCGTCTGAAAATGTTAATTTTTGAATGCAAAGTCACATTTAATAGTCTACTAACTTTCTCCTAAAGTAAGTAAAGGGCATTGTTAAGACATGTGTTTTAAAGTAGTATTATCCTTATTTTATCTCCAACAAAATGCTGTTTAAGCAATCCTGTTCTGTACAGGCATAATGGAGTCCAATAAATTCTAAATATTATTTTTTGTTGTATAATCTCTACTTTATGGTCCATTGGTACTGCTGGGTACAGAAATAAAAACAGTCCCAGATTTTCTAGGTGCCTCTAATTCTTTTTTCCCACTCATTTCATAGCATCTGTATATCAAACTGATTTATTAATAACAAGTATCTATAGAAGCTATAAGAAAGGGTTAACCTATCCTCTAAAGCTCCTGAAGGCAGAACAAGAAATAATGGATGGAAACTAATCAAGGAGAAAAGCAACTTAGAACTAAGGAGAAATTTCCTAACAGTTAGAATAATTTATCAGTGGAACTGCTTTCCTTCAGATGCTGTGGATACTCCAACACTGGAGATTTTTAAGAAGAGCCTGGACAACCATTTGTCTGAAATAGTACAGGGTCTCCTGTCTAAGCAGGGGGTTGGACTAGAAGACCTCCAAGGTCCCTCCCAACTTTGACATTCTGTTAACAGAAGCGTCATCCTCATTATCTGTCCTATGAATTGACAGAAGAACACCCTGAAGTGAAAGTCCTCAGATCTTGGAATGTCTGAACATAAAATCAATCTTAGCTGTGAGTAGCATACAGCTTTGATCACACGTCTGGGCTTAAAAGGTAAGCAGAACTAGATCCAGTGGTAAAATTCAATTTTTTTTTACTACCGGTTCTGTGGGCGTGGCTTGGTGGGCACGGCAGGGGAAGGATACTGCAAAATCTCCATTCCCACCCTATTCCAGGGGAAGGATACTGCAAAATCCCCATTTCCTCCTGATCAGCTGGGACTTGGGAGGCAGAGAATAGATGGGGGTGGGGCCAGTCAGAATTTTTACTACTGGTTTTCCAGAACTGGTCAGAATCTGCTGAAACCCACCTCTGTCCCAAAGGTGCTTTTTCAGCCAAGTTCAGAGAGCACCAAGGCCCCTTCATTTCAATCCTGAACAACCAATATCCCCCTTTATTTAATAATATTAAATATGTACTTATATGTTAGGGTGTGGCAGTGGTGAAATCCAATTTTTTTACTACCAGTTCTGTGGGCGTGGCTTGGTGGGCGTGGCAGGGGAAGGATACTGCAAAATCTCCATTCCCACCCCACTCCAGGGGAAGGATACTGCAAAATCCTCATTCCCTCCCCACTCTGGGGCCAGCCAGAGATTGCATTTGCCAGTTCTCCAAACTACTCAAAATTTCCGCTACCGGTTCTCCAGAACCTGTCAGAACCTGCTGGATTTCACCCCTGACTAGATCCATCATCATTTGGATGAGATCATGTGTAAAAGTGGAAAGTTTAAAACCTATTGCAGCTGACCGTTTTTTGTTTTTTTTAAGGAAAACTAGAATGATGTCTCTGTGGATGAAACCTTTTTGCTATTTTTGATCCCAAGATTAGAGGTGATATTCAGCCGGTTTGGACCAGTTCACCCGAACCGGTAGTGGAAAGCGCGGGTGGCTCCGCCCACCTGCCCCGGCTCTATGCCATCCTATTTAGGCACGTGTTTGAGGCTGGGCACATGCATGGAAGGCCGGGTGGATGTGTGGATGTGCGCGCTCACATTTGCGAACCGGTAGGGAAAGTAAGTG